CCAATAATTCTCAGTAAAACATCCAAAAGACACCATGAAGCAGCATGAAAGAATTACCAAAAGCTATCATGACTGGAAACTGGCAACCTTCCTCAGATGGATCCTTATCAGTGACTATAGCCAAACCAGAGAAATTACAGTCCCAAAGGTGCTGGTTATTTACTTGATAGCACATATTGAAAGCATGAGAAGCATTTCCTTCAGCAGTTAAGTGATTGCAGGAGGTACCATAACCCAAAGCAGTACAATCTGATAGACTGCAAGCATAGCTAATACTTTCAGGCAACTGAACTTCCACATCAGTTGCTTGAGGGTTGAGAACACACCAACTTTTGAGTTGGTATTTCACATCCTTCACTGGAGTTAGCCCTATATCAACTTCCAAACGTCCAATTCATATTTTGGCTTTCCATCGACCTTGAAAATTCCCCAATGTCTCTCAAAGCCACCAGGTTCAATGCTTTTAGCATTTTCATCGATGAGGCTGAATAGATAAACTTCAATCTCACCTTCCCGAGCTGGGGTTCCTATTCCACTCAAAGAATGCTTTATCAATCCTTGGTTAAACCTCTTTGCATTTTGGATATTGGCGTTTTTGTCACTATCAGTTGGCCAGCCAACTTCTCCAACGATGACCTCTATGTCAGGGAATCGTGCTTTACTCAAAGCATAAATGAGAGTATCAAGGTTTGCATCAAATGCATTTCTATAAACATTATTACCATCTCTAAGAGGCTTGCTTGCTTCATCAAAGAATGCAAACTCCACAGGGAAATACTCATTGCCATAAAGGCTAAGGAAGGGATAGATATTGACAGTGAAAGGTGCATCGTGTAAATACAGAAACTGGATTATGTCAATGGCAAGTTCCTTGACCTCAGGCTGAAAGTCGCCAGCAGATGGAGCTGGATTGGATTCTGGGGAGTTATAGATGTCAGCATTGAAGGGAACTGTGGCCTTGTACTGACACTTAACCCCAGATTTCTCAAGGGCTTTCTGGATATGTTTGAGAGCTGGTAATACGTACTGTAGATAGGTGCCATTGTATGTTTGGAGGAAAGGTTCATTTCCCACAGCAACATACCTGCCAAACCAATTTTCAAAGTAAATTCATGTCACAAAACCAACCTTTTTTGTTGTTGTTCCGTACAACATATAGACATTACACTACATGACTTTACTGAGCTAAAATGTTACCAAAGGTCAAGAGGTCCTGGCAAATACAAGTAGATATTCTTCACGCCACCCTTTTAACTCTGCAAATAAAATGAGACTTCTACGGTATGAGTCACCTGACTCACCTCCAGCTCACTTGCATGGGGAGAGGATGCCTTTTGACTGGATGAGGTTTGCAAATCCGTGTGACCTTTTAGAAGTGGAGTGTGTAGCTGTCACATGCTTGGCAGGACCTCAGACAAATTGCCATATCGATATTGACAGTAAAAGAAGCGGCCACTGACGTAAAAATCCACTTCAAGGAAGAGTAGCTAGGGCTCCATATGCCCAACAAAAAAGACTCAACATTCCTTAACCAAATCAAGGAATCAGCCCCATCCTAGACTCAAGAGAATAAAAGCCTCAGGAAAATGACCTTATAAAAGATGGTGGTTAAAATTCTTGAAGATAATAACCACCAGTTTCAAGTTAATAAACCAGATGGAACCATACTGTCCAAGAAACCAGAGAAATTACGGGCGGAAAAACTAATATCATCAATGGCAAAGAAAAGAACTAACAATGAAAAACACAAATGAGGAACCGACGCTAGAATTGTCCATTGAAGATAAACAAGAGAAACTTGTGAGTGAAAATGAATAAATAAAACAATTCAAGAAGAACAGTGCATGCATGAAGAAATGCAAGGCAAAAATATCATAAACTTGGAGAAACTGTGTTACTCAACTTGATATTGACTCCCCCTTCATAGCAATAACCACTGACGTTATTATAAACCAAAGAAACAGCCGCTCCTGGTTCCTCACTCATCTCTTTCAGCATGTTATTAGGAATTCCCACCATCACTTCAATATCTGTCCCAGTAAGAGCTGTCATAGTCCCCTCATTGTACTCGAAAGGCTTCAACTTATCAAACCCATTATCTCTCAGCATTTTCACCACCTTGTTTGGAGGGAGTTGGTGGGTAGCCAGGGTTCCCCAGTTCACTCCAACACTATTTCCATTTGGAAGGAATTCCCACCATCACTTCAATATCTGTCCCAGTAAGAGCTGTCATAATCCCCTCATTGTACTCGAAAACCTTCGACTTATCAAACCCATTATCTCTCAGCATTTTCACCACCTTATTTGGAGGGAGTTGGTGGCTAGCCGGGGTTCCCCGGATCACTCCAACACTATTTCCATTTGGAACCAGAATCGTTAAGACAAGAAAAAACAATACCAAGATATATTGGCAATCTAGTATTCTTTTTGTTGACATTTTGTTTTCTTTTAATGAGGGGATCTTTCTTGGATTCAGGAAAGAAGCAAGAATCATGCTGATGGGGAGCAAAAGTAATGATTGGGTTTTGTTTTGGGAGGTCAAGTGCATTGGAAGCAAGAGAGTGGGAAAGGAAAGGGGAATATTTATGTTGCCTAGTCCTGATTTTATAGGCCTTGGAACTTGGCAAACGAGTGTGACACTCTCTTTCTCTCTCACTTCCTCTCATTGGCTTTTGAGAAGCTTCATGGCGAAGTTGAGAGGATTTTTAATGGTTTGGCTTTAGTGCACAAAAGGCATAAATAAAAAAAAAGGAAGATTCGCTCCTTAATTCAGTTCCTAAAACAGGAAACAATATGCATTTCACATAAAATATAAATTTTTAAAATTTTATTATAATTCACAAATATTTTAGTATTTTTAATTTAAGATTTTAAAATAAAAAATAAATATGTAAATTCATTATTTGAATATAACACTTTAATGTACTTAACACTGTCTCATGTTTAAAAACTAAAACTTTTCCTTTTTTTTTTTTTGCACCATTCTTAAGTATTAATCTTAAACTTCATTCAATTGCAACAATAAAAAACAATATATCTTCACATAATATTTTTTAATATTTGCGGCCCTGAATCCAAATTACATCATTTGATCAGTTGGAGCATTAGATAAATGCAATCTAAAGAGTTTTTGCAGGTTTTGTATCAAAGAATATGATAATATATAACATTTTAAAAGGTTATTTTAGACTGGTCAGTAGCAAGTTTTGTAGTGACTTGGCAGTTAAGGCAGAGTGAAAAAAACAATACAAAGTAGGAAGCCATGGCATTAGCTTTACAGCTTGAATTGAAATCAGATTTAATGCTTTTTGGAATCTATAAACTATATATAAAAGCTGACTATCCATTGAATCAATTAATATATTGTTGAAGCTGACATTTGAAAGTTATGGATTTGAAAGAGTTTAGGTATATAATATTCTTCAGTTAGGTATGTAGTTAGATAAAAAATTTAAAGGTAATTTAAAAACTAAAAAAAAATAAATTTTATATAAAAAGTATCCCTAAAAGTTTAGAATTTGATAATTGTATTCTATAATAAAATGATCATATTAACCTTTAGTTAAAGGATTTGAAAAACAAATATGATGGCAGCAAAAGTTAGGCCTAGGGGTTGACCCATTATAAGTAACTTAATCTAATTAAAAAAATAAATAATTTATTTTTATTATTTTTTAGAAACATTTTAAATTCATTAGAAATATTTTTTTAATTTTTATTTATATATATTTATTTTATATTTACTTCAAATAGCAAAATAGAACTAATGTTATCAATTCCATTATATTAAAGTTATCCTTATTGAATCTAAAATTTTTATTTAAAATTTTGAGCCTCAATTTTTAAACAATTAATACTTGCCATAACTAATTATTTGAGGTTTGAGGGTTAATTAAGATATAAAATTATATGATAATAGTTGAATTTGACTTTGTTATTATTTTTATGCTTTTTAGTTATTTTTTTTCTTACATTAGAAATTAAAAAAGGAAAGAGTTTTATGAAAAAATAATTATTATGTGATCATGTTTACTACAAAATTTATAATAACTAATATTAATAATATTAAAACATATAAAAATAAATATTATTTAAATAAACAATTAACATTTAATTTGATTTAATTTAAATTAATTTTAAATATTAAAAAAATCCTCAACTGTTTGATTCCTAAATTAATGTTTGTTGTTGAAACATCTAGAGTTAATAAATCTATTTCCTAAACTAATTATTCCTAAACTAAGATTAGGAATTAAAAAAAAATCCTCGACAAATGTTTGTCAAAATATGAAAAATATCATAAGGATTTGAAAATGTTTGATGTTTTCCTGCAATTCATCATATTCTAGAGAAAAAAAAAGAGAAAAAAAAAAGGAAGAGAGAATAAATGATAATTTTAAAAGTAAATAACAATTATTCAAATGATGAAATTTTTAAAAATTACAAATGATTTGTTTTAGAAAATTTTTATATGAATTTTTTTTTAAAAATTTGACTCAATTGAAAAAAAAATGTAAATAAAATTTCAATAATAATAATAATAATAATAATAATAATAATTGATATTTATTTTCAAGTCAATGCATTTGTATTATATAACTTATAAATAATTATTTTTTATATTTAATTTTTTAATTAATAAAATATAATTATATTAATATCAATATAAATAAAATTTCTCGACGAAGCAAGGGGCGTCAACTTGTAACTTATAAAGAGAATCCTCCAAATGTCAACTTTCCAGTTTCCAACCAAATCCCATCTTTGCCTTGTTAATTTTTGCGCCAATTTTATCAAAGGCCAAGCCCCTAAACACGTGTGGGATTCAAAGAACAGTGGGCAAAGGCCTTTTTATTATTATTATTATTATTATTATTATTATTATTATTATTTTATGCGTCTTTCCTCTTAATCTGAAGTGTGGGGTTTTCCAATTTTTGGCTGTAAAATATGGGGTAACCTTTAGCCTTTAAGCCTTTACACGAGGGATTTAGCTGAGGACACGCTGGAGTACCACAATGACAACAGTATGGGATATGCCTAAAAAAGGTCTGCTAACTTCACCATGCCAAAAGCCTTGGGTGGAAAATTGCCTCTTGAGACACTTGGGTCTCCTGGATTTAACATTGGCTGCAACATATTTACACAAACAGTTTTTTTTTTTCTTTTTCTTTTGAATTATATCGAGGTCCTTAAGGTAAAAATTGGACAGTGAAAGCTTCTAGGAAGAGCAGCTTGTTAACAACTAAAGCACTTGTTAGTTACAGGGGTGTAAAACTCATGGCAAGATGATTTTAGGATGAAAACCAGTGGCCTCTTTTTTTTCCCCAACTCTGGACTTGAGGGAGCAATGCTCTTCAAAAACTACAATTGCAAATTTGTAATGGTTGGGGCAGGGGACAGAGAGAGAGAAAGAGATCAACGAGTTCTTAAAAATTAATATTCGACTGTTAAATTGTAGCAAAAATTGTAGCACTATCGTATTTCATGAAAGATAAAGCTTCATACATGATTTCTGCAGGTGGGATAGATTAAAACGGGTGTCTTACAGTTACAGCAAAAGGTGAATATACATGCATGACAATAGTGAAAGCAATAGAAAAGTGGATACTTCTTGAGATCAATGCTATGTTAGCAGCACTCCCTCTCCCATGTTCTTTTCTGTTTCAGCTATGTGTGTTAGAATACCACTCCAACTTCGAAGAAGGGTCATAACTCATAACTCACCAGTAGAATGACCGCTACTGCCAGTGATGTCTTCAATAAAGCATGCTTCTGGCAGCCTAAAGCTTAAGCAAAACATTGCCTGCACCGTATAGTTAAAAATAGAGGCCATGATTGCAATCCATGCAAATTCCTCCTCCACCCTTGACAACAAAGTGGGGTTGGGACGATGGAGATAAAAATATATAAAACAGATAAAAAACTTAGTAGGTTATACCTTGTTAGGAGCAACATCCCTAACCCTATGAAATACTGGGTCTTCTATTTTGGCATTTAAGGCAGACTCTGCCTCCTGTAAAATATTTGCAAAATCAAATATAGTAACAGAATAAATAAAATAACAAGAAATTAACCAAAGAATTTTTGCATCCTATGGACCTTGTAAACTGAACTAGATTAAAGGTTGGTTTATGTAAACATTAAGATTGTGGTGGGAAAGATCATTGTCATGGACTGACACAAGCAACTTCAAGTCGCAGGCATACAAATAAAGAAGAATGAAATGACTGAAAACTTTTCAATCCAAGAACTTAACAGATAACCTATGGAGTTATTTAAACAAGTTATGGAAGAAATACAAATCATAGCGCAGCTGACTTACTGATATTATCAATTCTTTAGTTTCATTTGCTCGTATGAAGCAATAGCAATGAACCAATGGGAGAGGCCCCTTCCAGCATTTCCTTGAGATAATACCCCTAAATGCATCTAGGGAGGAAAAAAAAAAATCAAACTTCTTTAAATAAATCTTCAAGCAGAGGAGCATCACCAATTAATCTTCAGCAAAATGGTAGCAAATATGAAATGGACAAATAATACACATGCAATAAATCTTGTTCTCCCTTGCATAAAAGAAGATGGGAAAAAGCATCACAATTGGAGCAAAAAGTCATATGTGTGCAGTCTGGTGGTCACCCTGTATCTTTAGCTTAGGACTATTGATACTGGAGTGTTTGCATATCATACAATTTGGGCTAAGACTAAGGCATACTTATCCAAAAATAAGATGGGCCTATCTTTAGTCCAAATCCACTAAATAAATACATAAATAAGGTGGGCTGGAATAGGGATATTGCATTCACACTAGCTGAAAAATAAGAGCATGAATATGGATGGTATTGTGGTCAGGTTTATTCTCACGTAATCTGCAAAAGTAAATGGGCAGATTATGTTCACATGCAAATCTCGTGATTTTAGGCACCATTCTAGCAATGCAATCTAAAAGTTTCCATGCTTGAAGGGATGTTCCTACCCTATATATTTTCTATTATTCTTTGGTAGAAGGCAAAATAGAGGCTTTTTTAGATTGTTCTTCAAGTTTTGTATCTTTTAGGTGGATTTCCTAGAGTGGTGAACTTCTATTGTTCTGTATCCTTAATTAGAATTCTTAGGGTGGTGTTTTTGTATCCCTTAGTTTCTAGTTTTGGTGGTGAACTTTTATCCCTTTTAATCCAATAATCATATTCTGCCATTATTCAAATTCTCGTGAGTTGTTTTCTTTGTGAGTTTTTCTATTTGCAGTTAGTCTCCACATCTCAAACATCAATTCTCAGCATCAAATTGGTATCAGAGCTATGGCAGGTCGTCGTCGTCAAGCACCAACAGAAGAGGTTGAAGCCAACACCGACATTGCAGCAACTACCAATGTTGACCTAAGGGATGCTCTCATAGGGAGATGCAGCAACAGATCCTTCAACTACAACATTAGCTACATATACAAGAAGAGAGAGAAAAGATAAAGAGGCCAATGAAGGAGAAACCAATCCATTCCATGGAAACAACAACGATTCTGATAATAGCACCCTATCTCACCCACGGCAAGTTAGAGACTATCTACGCAAAAACCAACTTCAACCTAGCATATTCAATCCAAAGATAGAAATTCTTAAGTTTGAAGGGAAGATGCAACCTAAAGAATTCTTAGATTGGCTATACACGGAGGCACGCATATTTGAATACCATGATGCCCCTGAACATCGCAAGGTGAAGCTAGTGGCCATCAAACTCAGAAAGCATGCATCCTTTTGATGGGAAAATCTGAAGATAAGAGAAAAATTATAACTTGGGAGAAGATTAAAAGAGAGTTACAGAGAAAGTATCTCCTAGACAACTTTCGGCAATATGTCTTCCTTAGGCTCCATAACTTGAAGCAAAAAAATCTCTTAGTGGAGGACTATATGGCTGAGTTTGACCACCTCAAGTTAAAATGCGAGTTTGTGGAACAAGAGGAGCAGACTATTGCTCGGTATATTGGAGGATTGAAGATTGAGATAGCTAATGTGATGCAGCTACAACCCTATTGGACTTTCAATGATGTATGCAAACTTGCCCTTAAGGTGGAGAGACAACAAAAGGAGGCCCGTGGTAGCAACTTGAGATTTGAGTCCCGAAAAGGCAAGCCTCAGTCTAGTGCACAGACCAAAAGGTGTTTTAAATGTCAAGGACTTGGACACATTGCCTAGAATGCTCAAACAAGAAGATTGTGACTCTAGTAGAGGAAGACTTGGAGGAAAATGAAGAAGAGCTGGCTGAAGAGGATCAAAACCTTGAAGAGGAGAAAGAGGTGACCTATGGCGATTGTGGAGCATCCTTAGTCATACAATGCAGCTTGAGTATCACACTTGCTAAAGAAAAAGATTGGTTGCGAAAAAAGGTGTTCCACACTCGATGTACTGTCCATGGGAAGGTATGTGATGTTATAATTGATAGTGAAAGTTTTGAAAACGTTGTTTCTACATTTATGGTATAGAAATTAGGCCTCAAGGCAGTGGATCACCCCCAACCATATAAGCTATCATGGCTATAGAAAGAGAATGAAATCAAGGTTAGCAAGAGGTGCTTGGTTCCTTTTTCCGTAAGAAAGCAATACAAGGATGAAGTGTCGTTGATGTAGCTCCCATGGATGCTTGCCATTTATTGCTTGGAAGACCTTGGCATTATGATAAGAGGTTATTTATGATAGTTACCGCAACACTTACACATTTGTGAAGGATGGATGCAAAATCATCCTAGGCCCTACCAAGCCCATAGTGATGTCAAAACCAACCAAAAGGGAAGGAAGCAGCTTGTTTACCAAGGCAAATTACAAAAAGGAAATTAAGATGGGCGGTACTATGTATGCACTGGTGTTAATTGAGAAGAATAAAGATAATGAAAAACCCCCCGCAATGATACAACCATTATTGGCAGAATTTCAAGATGTTGTTCAAGAGGATTTATTAGCTGGTTTACCACTAATGAGGGACATTCAACACTGTATAGACCTTAACCCAGGAGCTGTACTACCCAACAAGGTAAAAATTTTCTTGAGGAGTTATGCGGGAAAGAAACTAAAACAATGAGAACTTGTTTTACTACAAGTGAAGTTTGCCTACAACCATTCACTAAGTCAAACCATTGGTCGCAGCACTTTTGAAATTGTGCTTGGTAAGAATCTAATATGTCTTTTGGTTTTAATTCAACTTTATACTAACCAACATTTTGATGGAGATGTAGAAAAAAGAGTCAAGAGTATCAAAATATTTCATGAACAGGTTCAGAATAAAATTTTGCAGAAAAATGAGAAATATAAAAAGGCAATAATTATGCATTGAAGACATGTGAAGTTCAAAGAAGGTGATTTGGTGTGAATTAACTTGCAGAAAGAGAGATTTCCTCTAGAAAAGTTTGGCAAATTGCAACCTAAGGCAGATGGTTCATTTAGAGTTCTCCAACGCATTGGGGAGAATACCTACAAGATAAAGCTTCCCAACACTTATGAAGTATCTTCCACCTTCAATGTTGTTGATTTCTCACCCTACTATGGCGAGAATACTAGTTCAGACTTGAGGACAAGTCTTTTCCAACCAGAGGAGATTGACACTGGAGTGTGCACATCATACAACTTGGTCTGCGACTAAGGCAAACTTACCCAAAAATAAGATGGGCTTATCCTTGGTCCAAATCCACTAAATAAATACATAAATAAGGTGGGCTGGAATAGGGAGATTGCATTCACACTAGCTGAAAAATAAGAGCATGAATATGGATGGGATTGTGGTCAAGTTCATTATCATGTAATTTGCAGGAGTAAATGGGCAAATTATGTTCACATGCAAATCTCATGATTTTAGGCACCATTCTAGCAATGCAATCAAAAAGTTTCCATGCTTGGAAGAATGTTCCTACCCTATATATTTTCTATTATTCTTTGGTAAAAGGCAGAATAGCGTTTTCTTTATCCTTAAGCAATCTTTTAGATTGTTCTACAAGTTTTGTATCTTTTAGGTGGATTTCCTAGAGTGGTGAACTTCTATTGTTCTGTATCCTTGATTATAATTCTTAGGGTAATGTTTCTGTATGCCTTAGTTTTTAGTCTTGGTGGTGAACTTTTATCTTTTTTAATCCAATAATCATATTCTGCCATTATTCAAATTCTTGTGAGTTGTTTTCTTTGTGAGTTTTTCTATTTGCAGTTAATCTCCACATCTCAAACATCAATTCCCAGCATCAACTATTTCCCCCTCACCTCCACCTAGAATGAGGAAAAAAGATGCATTTGCAATAAATAAACAAGATTAACCAGTAATCAGATGGCTGTAGAACTTAGTTCTAAGCAGTGATAGATTTTCATAGTTCATAGTAATGAAATCAACATTCAAGCAAAACTGAGCATTAATGATATAAAAACATATACGGGCTAGTTTACCAGCTAAAAATCTTTTGGCATTCTAAATATTTGACATTAAGTAGAGTTCATAATTTGGGAAACAGTCCTAAAAGGAGAAAATGAAAGAATCCAAACAAAAAAAAGGAACGAAAAATGAAATTGAGGTAACATTAGAATCAACACAGATATCCACCAGATCAGCCAAAAGAAAAGTTATACTATAGGGAATAATGGACCAGTAGTCCACAGAAAAAGTGAAAACACACATAAAGACACAATCACACATATATTGACACAAAAATATCAGATTAGAAAGAATATGTACCTAAAAATTGTAAAGCAGAAGCAGGAAGATTCATTATCACATGATCAACATGCTCCCAGGCCTTAGCTTTGGGCATAACAGAGCCTTTCATCCTCTTATGTGTATTTCCCTTTTTCTTATGACCACTGTAGTCATTTCCATTCTCTGCAATGTCAGTGCAAATATTCTCACTCTTTTAATTCAAAGAAGCAAGAGCAAAATGACTACATCTGCAGCCAATATAGCATCCCAAGCTGATGGATGTAAATAAAAAAATGCAAAATTTATTATCACTGCATGTTCTTCAGCTATAACCTAATGCCTGAAGCACATTCTTGCATACCTTCTGTGAAACAATCTGGAGGTCTTTTACTTGCAACTATAGATCCATCTACAGTCGTAGAAAAATTTTCAATGCCCTCCAGATCATTTTTTACATCATTACCTGATACTTCTTTCTCCACAACTGAAAGAGAACAGAAAATACTGATGAACTTATACCTAACTTAAAGGAAGATGATGCATAAAAGAGTAACAGACAGTACTGCCAAGCTTTGTGCCTTCTGCCTTTGCATCATCAATGGTCTTGATGCTGCAAGTGTCACATGCTTTGACCATGGAATCATCTGATTCTAAATTCTTTTCACAAACTGGTACTGCCATCAATTCTGAAACAAATTTCCGAGCATCCAAATTGTATGCAAAAACACAACCATCAACCTTATTGATTTTTGCATTGATCTTCAAATAGTGAACACTGTCTGGGTTTAAATCATTTGCATACAATAAGCATCCTTTCTGTGCTGCTGGAATTGCAAATGGTCCAATACCAGCAAACATGTCACAAATTATCTCCCCAGGCTGGAATAGAGATACAAGCCTTATGTGTTCATGTTCCAGTCTTGAATTCCAATAGACCAAGCTGTAATCTAGTTTGAATGTTGCCCCATATTGCTTCACTTCTGTAACCATATCACTTTCTCCTGCCAAAATTTCAAATTTTGGTACTCGAAACTCATTTGTAATCGTTCCAACTTTATTAACAACTGTTTTAATTCTTGGATAATTTTTCTGCCAAGAGATTAAATCTGAAGCAATCAGTACCACATGGACAATTATAAGCAAAGTAGTAATAACAGTCATAATAAACAGTAACTCAACGTTAAAGAACTACAGAATACAGATACTAAGCAGCAAGTGTTACAATTCCTGATTAACAAAAGAACAGGTAAACAGATCCCAATAGTATACTAATATCAAATTCAAGAATCTCTGCAAACAGAGGGTTTGAATCACTAGCAAGCGAAACTTATATATTAAGTGACATAAAATCTTAGTTTTACTAAATAGAAAGCAAAGCATATGGCTAGCATGAAATGATGAAAATGGAAAAGGAAATTAAATGTAAATAACAAGTCCAACACGTTAAAGAAACACCTTATTTATGGGCAATGTCAGTGAAAAATAATGAAGTGTTGTGGACAGAGACAAATGAAAACTCACATCGTAAATGACTTTTGCAATCACATCTTTGAAAGTAAGCAATTCGTTGTGAATATTTAGATGGGCAACATGACCTGCAGAGTTCAGATGAAATGTTAGCAGCAAGGGGTATTGAGAGCAACAAGAAAATACAGGGTGAGAAAAAGGAAAACTCAAACGCATGGTGAGTTAAATACATAACTATTGTTTCAAAAGATGAAGGTACCTCCACACCAGGAGGCAGAATCTGCTTCAATATATGGTCTACAAAATCATAAAATACCCTTTAAACACAGGATTACAACTATAGATTAATACGATTAAAGAAAAACACATCAACTGGAATTTAATTAAAGACAAGAAGGCAACTGACCAGCAGTCCAATAAGAATATCCAAGTGTCAATGAATATGGAACTACTTCAATCTCACATAACTTCTCGAGTTCATCAAGTTTTTGGCTTGGAATATCTGATAAATCTGTTCTATTTCAAAAATAAATTTCCGGCAGTGAGGAAAAAATTTTTTTTAAAAAAGGAAATTTTGCAATGTCTCGTTTCTTACCAGGATTTTGAACTTTCTCAGACAAAATCACATAACGGTTCTTTTCACTTGTTGGATCTTCAGTTATAGGTTTAACACGAGGCTTGTCCAGCAAGTATCTAAACACCAAAAATTAAATAAAAAAGTAAAAAAAAATTAAAATTAAAAAAAGAAAGAAAGAACTAGCGTACCCATTGAGTAAACGAGTGGCGATTTTGCAGAGCTCGCGAGGTATTCGAAGTGCTAACAATTTGAAATTCACATCGAACTTACTTTCATCCAACATTTTCACGGGTTTCTTTTTTTCAATTTTTTAATTTTTACCTCTACTAATTTAATTTAAATAATAGTTAAAGAAAGGTTGAGAAACGTTGGTCCTGTAACTGCTGTGGGGCAGCTGAAGAGCTTATAGCGTTTTAGGGTTTATGGGATTGTGCATAAAAGTTGAAGAAGTGGTTTTAGGAGCGCGACGTCGTTCGGGTGCCTCAATGTTGGACGGGCTTGATTAGTTGGGTTAGGCTTGGTTAAGGCCTATTGGGTTTATTCCTTCATTCATTTAAGGATAAAAAGGGCCTTTTGGACCATTCGAGTCCCAATCTCTTTAATTTCATTTTCCCTGAAGCCCAAATTTGACAGGCTTGAAAAATAAATGAAGGCCGATCAAATCACCGATGGATGTTTTTTAATGAAAAATTATCTAATACACTATTAAAATTCACATTAGAGGATTGGTACAATTGTTCTAGGGTATGTTTAAAAATAAATATAATAAAAAATACATTGTAATATTTTTATCTCACTCATAAATTTTAAAAATTATCTTTTTCAACAAATCATTGTGTAAAATATAATATTGCTGTTGAAATTGACATTTATTATGCTTGTTATTCCATTGTTTTTATCCCTTTACTTTTGGATTAGCTGTTTTTCCGGATTAAATAACATTATTTTAAGATAATTTTAAATTATTGTAGTTTCAAATTCGATGTAACAATGAACAAAAAAAATATTTGAACTTGAATTTTTTTAAATTTAAATTTTATTTCTTGTAAATTTAATTTAATTTTAAGTTCAATTTATCTGATTATATACATCACGCATTATTTAATCTATTTAGTTATTTTTTATATGAAATGCATGAATTTGTGATTATAATTTTTACTCGTAATTATAAGTTTATAAAAAAAAAAACTTTAATGAAACTATATAAATTATTTGAATTTCATTAATAATTTTTCTATCTAAATCTTCTAATATTCAATAATCATTTTAAATTTTAATTAATTCAAAATCGAATTCAATCATATCTTATAAAAAGACAAGCTTTTCCTATCTCATAAAACTCGAAATAAAACTCTTTAACCATTCGATAGGCGTTGATACAAGTACTTTCTTTACATTAAACACATTAATGTTTTAGTTAAAATGATTTATAACTATCAAATATCCTCTTAAATTAAATAACTCTAATAGTGAAACTAAATATGGCTATTCTCACTCCCAAAAAAAAAAAAAAGGGCTCTTCTTACCCAATCAAGTTGATTAATAAAAGAATTATTAACACTTTGCTCCTTTGATTGTGGCATACAAATGATTGCCCTGAATCCTTGATCCAATCCCATCCTAACCCTATGTCTAATCCTGTTTTCCAGAAAGAGACAACAAGAAAATATCGCCAGTGCTTTAATATCTTGACCTTTCTCAAATACCTCAGCTCTTCTTCGCAACAGAATCTTGAGACCCAGATTTGTCTTCCAAGTTCCAACCGACGCCTGGAAACATCTTGTCTTGGAACTCAATCTGAAATAGAATGATCATTCCAACACAAAAGCATGGATATACAACGTCCGAGGATGTAAAACCGAGTTTTCTGTTGCTTTCCCATCAACAAACAACGCTCTCCGAAACTAGGTCTCCTGTGATTCTGAAACCTGCAACAAGGTTTTGATTTGGAGCTTGAAAGGAAGTAAGGAGTAGCAGACATGGCGGAAGCAGACTGTCTGAGAGGATTTTGGTTCTTGCTAGTTCTGCTTTTGAGCACGAATGCAAAAGACTGCTATAAATGTTTGACGATTGTGGACCCCCTTTTCAGTATATATTGACATCGCTGCCGCTACTGCAACTTTGGTGTTTTGCCCTTCCTCAACCAAAATATATAAATATATATCTGCATTCACATTTTATTTTTTATCTTTAATTAGAAGAAGCCCAGAAAATATATAACCATAGGAAAAACACAAACCACTTTTTGGGGCAAACAAATTTCACTTTTCACTTGGCCAAAAAAATAAAAAGCAAACAAATTTCATGAAAATAGGGTAAAATGGTAATTTAGAAAAGAGGAGCATTTATTCTGGTCAAAAGACTGGTCGTGATGCATCAGGCAAAAGAGCAAAACCCAAAGGCAGAACGCAAACCAAGGAGAAGCCGTGTTACCATATACAGCCCCCACCACCTTCAATTCTCGTCTATCCCCCACGTGGTACCGTTGTCGTCATTTTGCACACGTTTTTCCTTTCTTTTACCCTGGCCTCTGGGCCCCTCACGGCCAAAAGTGAAATGGTCTAAACTTTTAGGATACACACCGGCAGATAAATTTAAATATTAATTTTAATAAAATTTATTTAATAAAAAAAAATTTATAATTTTTTTAAAAAATAATTATAATAATTATTATTTTTTTAATTTTATCAAAATCAAAACCATTGTTCACTTAAATCAATACTAAAAGTTCATGATAAAACTTAAATTTGTAATTTTGGTTAAAATATTAAAATAAACTATATTATTTTATTTAAATAAATTTTTATATTTTATCACATTTAAATACATTTTAAACTTTCATTTACATTAAATTAAATTTTTAATTAATATTTAAATAAATTTTAATTTAAAACAAAAGTTTATTTAAATATAATAAAAATGTAAAAATTTATTTAGAAAACAATTCAAAGATTTTTTAATATTTTAGTCTGTAATTTTCTTGTTTTGTTAGTTATTTAATGCTATATTTTGCACTAGCCTTATCCGGAACTCATCTCGTTAAAAGACAACGGTTAGTCATATTTCCGGCTGCTGCCGTTTTGGTTTGAATTTATGTCACAGCAGGCGGATTACGTAAAGAATCATCCAATTCGGGACCCACCTTATCTTCCTAGCTTCCAAGGTATCGGAGTGAATTTTCTAATTTAAGAAGTGTTTCTTTCGTCTCTTTCGCTTGGGTGCAAGCATTCCACTTCATGTAGACCCCACAAAAGTGCGTGCGACTAGTCCAAAGATGTGTGCCCAATCGACTTTCAAAAGGGAAAATCCTATTTATACCACAATTTTTATTTTATACATATTTATTTTTTTAACACGCTTCCCATTAATTTTTAAATTTATATAAGATCGAAAATACGATAATAGTAATTTTTTTTATTTTTTTCACTCTTTTAAAGGTTATAAAAAAATCCTAACAGGGACATAATCATCATATTCAAAGACACACAGTAAAAATAATTTTTTTATTAATTTTAAAATTTATTATCTTTTAATTATAGTTTTTTTCATTATATTAATTTATAAATACTTTTAACAATATTTTCTTTTTTGTAACTTTTTTATAAAATTTCACTTTTTCAAATTCATTTTCAAAAAAAATTATGACGTTTCGAAAATTTATTTTTAAGTATTATAATTTTTTGAAAATAATAAATATTTGAAAACTTATAAAAGAATATTTAAATAATTTTATTTATAAAAAATATTTTTTTAAAAAAAGTGAAAGTGTATAGAGCAAAATCAGAGATGCATTTAAAACTACCCTTCAAAAGCTCAGCAAGTTTTTCTTTGCACAACAGAAATCAATATTATTATTATTATTATTGTTATTATTATTAGATATGTTAAAATTAAATATGATAATTTTAAATATAATATCATGATAAATATAAAAAAGTATAAGAATAATAGATTTAAATTACAACAAAAATTATATATAAATTTAAAAAATATATATTATGTTTCAAATATAAACATAAATTATAAAATAGTAATTTATATATATTTAATACAAAATAAATAAAATATTGAATACCCAAATTATTAAATTTAATTAAACTGAGCCGAAATTTCACTATCTAAATCCAAGCCAAACACACACTTAATATCAATGACCTTGGATTAACATAATTACAACCATACCGGAGTTTTGCCTGCAAGATTCCTTCATTAGAATATCATTTCCCCATATTATACAAATCATCATAGAAGATTGATTGACCAAAAAAGAAAAATCAACACAAATTGCACTGAGAAGCTATAAAATTGTTTCCTTTATATGAAACGAAGATGAAACTTACAAAGAGATTTAATGGATTATTATATTATTTGGTGTACCTTGCAATTAAAGTTGGTAGAAGAGAATATTCAGACTCTTATGTTTTCTTGTAGTAATATTATCAAGGAGCATCTCAGAATACAAAAGTAAGACAGCCGTTTGGTGGTATCAGCAGAAACCATTGCACAATAAAGCTTCAGTAAATGCTATGACCCCTACACATTAATAATACTACTAGTAATTTTCTATTTTGGTTCCATGAAATGGTTTCGACGACTGATAAAGTTTCAATATTCTAATCAGAATCATGGTTATATGGCACGGAACGCAAACAATCCCATAAGTTAAAGCTGACATCTAGCGGTAAGTTTCTTCCAAGCATAAGTGCAAGTCTACTAGCTAGATTGTGGTTCAAGCAACAATTGAATTTTGCTTCAACTAATCAAGTAATACTTGTATTATTTTGCATCTCTGTAGGATTATAGAGAACATACCTCTTTATGAATATGAAACTCCTCAGGAAAATTGAGCTTTTCAACCCTACAATTTCAAAAGAAAATGAGATTACCAACATCAAGCTGATTTTCCTAACCAAATGCTATTAACACATTCTACACAGCAGGGAATGACTTATCAAGGCATAACTGCAGAACTGAATATAGAGAAACTTGTCATTTAGATCCATCAATAATCTCATAGTTTGTAAAAGATGGCCAAGACACCATCATAGTTCATTATTCTACCATTAAAATTTATCTCATACAAGGTAAGTCAATAATCATGGGATTAAACATTGCTGAAGATTAACATACCAATCAGGTTGCATAAATAATGCAAATGTTGATCGATCAACACCAGAAGCCTCCTTTCCTTTTGGTGCCTAACAGAAGCAATGGATAAAAAATATTATAATGAAAGGAAGGATAACCAGAAACTGAACAGGATTTTTCCCCCAAGAGAGAGAGTAGAAAATACCCGAATACAGTGAGGTGTTAAACAAAGATAACCTTCAGAAAGAATTTCAGCGGTCTCCCCAATTTGGTATGCTATTTAATCTTCTCCAAAGATAGCCTAATGCATAAAAAATCCAAGTTAATAGAATACATATATGTTCTTCTGAAGC